TGCAGATTTGTCCCCCTTAGCTACACAAGATTTCCTTTTTATATACATAATGATATGATAAAGGTAAAATAACTAAAAGTATTCTTGCTAATCATATTAAAAACTCTTAAAAAGAATTGAGATAAAATAAAATGCCAAAAAGTTCCACGGTCTAAAGAATGGGTTAGAAATAATGGTATGTTGTTGATACGAACAAAGCAAAGAAACTTTAGGCATGTATTGAATCATTGCATATATCACTAAAACAATATACCACGGGTAACTATAAATACTAGGACAATATATCACATATACAAGACAGGGTGTTTTATGATTAATAATGATATATAAAACAAGTTTTCTTTTATTAAGGATGTTATAGCAGGTTGTGGTACTTACTATTGCTATGTATATGATAGTGTTCATCCGTGCTGCTCTACAGAAATTAGAAACTTCGACGGGAGCGATAGCCACAGAACAATGTTTCTAAATTCTGTAGAACAGCTACGGATGAATACTAACATATTTAGTGTCAAACTTGATAATCACCTCATAATCACTCACTTTATTAAGTCCCTATGCCGTTCTATAAAGTACTATGAAAAATAGAAGTCGACTTTGAACGGAATTTGATATAGTATCGACTTTCGTTCTTCTCTGAAAATTAACGTACATAATTCTAAAGAAATCCAGCGTTTTCATTGGATGACAAATAAAGTTGGACACTAAGTCTGAATTAGATGAAATGTATCCAACCTTATGAATATCGGTTATATTATCAAAACCACGATTGAAGTAATTCTAGTCTAATTGAATCATTAAGAGGGTAATGCAACAATACATGTGCCTCATCCTCAGTCTTTGTTCTACTTGTAGTAAGTTATATCTTCTTTGTTCAATAGGCCTATTTCAAGGGGAAATATCTTCACCGATTTTGTTCTGCCTTTTCGTTAATGACATAGCAACACACAACAACACAAAATATTTTCAAGGGGTTAACTCTTGAGCAATTATCAATATACCTGATAATGTTTGCCGACGACTGTGTTCTTCTTAGTGAAACAGCTGAGTGATTACAATTACATTTAAATCAGCTAGAAGATTACTGTGATCGATGGTGTTTAACAGTTAACATTGAAAAGACTAAAATTGTTGTGTTCCGGAAAGGTGGGCAAATAGGCAGAAATAGTAAATGAATTTTCAAGAGAAACGAAATTGACGTAGTCGAAAGTTTCAATTATTTAGGTTTCGTATTGTCATCAGGTGGCTCATTTCGGAAAGGAATTGACACGATTGCCGGAAAATCATTAAAATCCATGTTCTCTTTAAATAAACTTACAAAAGCCCTCATCATACCAAAAAATATATCACTCGACTTATTTGATGCATATGTCACACCCATTCTGAATTATAGCTCCGAGCTATAGGGATTTTCGCCTGCTGATAAAATCGAAAGAGTTCACCGGCAGTTTCTTTAAAAAAACACTCAATGTTAAAATGACAACAAGTAATTTAGCTCTGTATGGAGAAACCGGAAGATATCATGTTATAATACATAGAAAACTACGGATTTTGAAGTCCTGGTTTAAACTTATGAATAGTTTTAACACAAACCAATTACTATATACTCTTTATATTGAAATGTTCAAAGAATGTGAAAATGGCAAAACAAATTGGTTGACAAACGTTAAAATACTGCTACAAGAATCTGGCTACCCCGACTGTATATACATTACACAATGGAGAGAAGGCGTGCGAAGTTCGAGTGCACTAATGCAATTCATGGAAATTAAAGAACGTTTTTATTTATTTCCATATTTATTAATTTTAGACAATCAAAAACATAGGCATGCCCTCACAAAACTAAGACTTCCATCTAATAAGTTAAATATAGAAAAAGGGAGACATAGAAATATTAGTAGGGAGGACAGAAAATGCTTAATGTGTTCAAGAAATGACATAGAAGATGAATATCATTTTGTGCTTGTATGTGACGCTTATAAAAGTTTAAGGAATAAATATTTATCAGGAAGATTTACATAAAGACGGAGTAAGTTTGTTTAAAAGCGAGAATAAAAACATTCTGCATAGTCTTTCCATTTTTATTGTGAAGGATTTTCAAATAAGGAATACTCAAAATTAAATATCATTATACAGATGTGTACTCTCTCATGTGCAACACATTAAAACAAATAAATTAATTACATTTATATCTAACCGTAATGATGTATATAATTCAATCCATGAATTTTGTATGCTACTTATTTATTTGTAATTATTGTATACGTATGTATGATGATGATAAGCTATAATGCTTAAATCTAAAATAAATTTTCTGTTCTGTTCTATTCAATATATTTTGACAAAGCACTTCTGTAAGATCTATTATAAATGTTCTGTTTCAAAATTAGTTTTAAAGCTTTTGTATGTACGGAGTTAATTACTACCTGAACCTGGCCGTTCACATCATTGCTCCATTTCTGAACATAGTCATTATAAATTTTTGAAAGCATATTTTCAAGTATACATTTTTCGCATAAGATGTATCAATATTGTAAAATCTATCAAAATCATATTGTCTTGACATCTGACATTATTCCTTAAAATTGTAATGTTCTTGTGCATTGTTTCAAGTTGGTATGTCACATATATTTCGGGTGATTTTAGGCAAACATAACGCATGATAAAGAGCAAATGTCATTTATCATTTGAAACTTGAGAAGCATAGAAAAGAGCACTATATTACTCATGTACGACATTTGTCAACTTCTGCAGTTTCAATTGATATGAGATACAAGATCAACAAAGAGGGGCAATGATACAATAAGATTATTTTTGTGCACTGCATTACCATTCACCTAGTGTACTGTTTTAAACATATATCTCAAAAACATTTTGAGTTGTGCTCCGGGCATAAAATAAACATAAGAGAAAGTTATGATAAATGATTCCAAAAACGTAAAGTGCTCTTGTTTATCCGCCTATGAAGATTCAAGTTGAATTTTGAGTTGTGCTCCTTCCCCAAAGAATTGCCGGGCAGAAGGATGGACAGACGGACGAAAGAATTAACATTATAAGCACATCTGTCGCCCGCCTGAGATAAAATGGACACTATCTGTTTATCAAGGAAAGACTAAAGGTCGATAATTCATAATTACTTCTTTAATAGTTATGCTTTCAATATGAACATTTACTTTTCAAAACATAAATTGATCATTGATATAAATTTTGAAAATAATAGATCATAAACTACATAGAGAAGGCAATTTAAAAAAAACTTTCATCAATTTTATTATAATTCATCGTTTCGTTTAAAAATCACAATAATTCTGCGATTCACTTGTGCTGGTCTTTAAATAGTTTCAAGAATTGCGTAAATATCCATCGTTTTCTTCGAACCAAAATATTTCTAGAAGTTAAGTTCCATATTTATCCCCCCTTTCGAAGTCAATAAAGATAAATTGAAGTAGTTTGCAATTTAATTTGGGGACAAGGTGTTTATATGTACCAACCTGAACATTTTATTAAAATTACCTGAATTTAATCAACTTCTTTGTATAAAATCAATCTTCTACAGCAAAATAAAGTAATTAATTTACGACACAGCTGCCGATCAATGACACTTGTTAAACTATAAAAGGAAGGATTGAAAATTGAAGTAACAATGTATATTTCCTGTTTCGACGCCGTATGACCTAAACTGTGTTCGAGCGCCGTGAAGCCAAACAAAAAATATGTGTGTTATACAATTATTGATTAAATTTTTCACACTATTGTCTTTCATATTTCATAAGACATTTGCTGATGGATATATAAAAAAGATGGATGGATGGATGGATGGATGGATGGATGGATATGGATGGATGGATGGATAGATGGATGGTCATGTTCTTATTTTTTATGTACGAGTGTACATAATATGGTGATGTACTGTATAGGATATGTCTTGCAACCACAGGGGATTCTGTCATTTTTTTCCCTTTCCAACTATATATACATGTATAATATAACAAGGGATACAACTCAAAATTGGTCAATTCATAAAAAAGTAAATAAAAGGCATTATATGACAATATTTTTCTCTTCTGATTGTTGGACTTTCATGAAAGAATCGATTATTATAAAAAAAATGTCCCACTTTGATACATTGACAAGATAATATTAAAAGTTAAGCTATCGTGTTTCATTTTTACACACGTTCGTAAAATTTCGGCATGTAAAATTACACATGTAAAACTATATTTTATGCAAATTTATACTTATATGAGAGAGTTTAATCATGTTATCACATAAATATCAATCACCCACCACCAGCAATGATGCAATCATAAACTTCTGCTACATATAAATCAAGGAATTCTTTTTGTTTTGATATTTTTAAACTTCAGCTGCCATTTTGTAGTTGCCCGTATGTTCTAATGCATAAATCCAACTTCTGTTAGTAACTGTCAATTTCATTGGCTAATGAATGATAATAATCCGGATAATAACGGCATATAGCCGCGACGAATAGCGGTTTTTTCATCAGCCAATGAAAATACGCGGAACATAAACACACCTGCAAAATGGACGACAACTTGACAGCCAATGTAAATATTGAAATGTTAGCTATTTCCTGCAATGTTACAAGTTTTAATGAAGTGTTTGTAGTAGAACTTGGGTAATGACTCGTTCATATATTAACTTCTACAAAAACTTTGATGGAATAGAGGATATTTTATACAGTTTACACGTGTGAATGCATTTTACGAACCCGTGCTGGTAGTGCGAGGCCACGACTTATATCCCTTGTTTATATTATATACATATAATACTCAATTTATTGAACGGGTTAAATAAAATCATATTTTCCGAGATTCTGGCAAGCATAACATTAATGTATTTAACGGGTACAATCAATTTTGTAATGAAGCTTCAACAACATATTTACGGAGTCGCAAAAACGACACGGGTATGTAATATATATCGAAATATTTCTGCAACTCATGACATGGGGACAGTAATACAAATAACACATTAGCTCTCACTTTAAAAATTTAATATAACTCTTTGTTAAACCTACATAACGTAAACATAGAAAATACAACGAAATGAAGATTTTTAATTGATATGAAATAGTTTTGATTCGACGCTATATACAATTGTTTTACAAATAATTTTTACATATATGTATATATGTTGTATTTACCATCAACAAAAAGCTTTTTAAGCTAAAACAAAAGAAACTCTCACTTATATTTTGAAAATATATGTAAACAAACGTCATGCAAAACGTTATCGCAATATAAATAATGTTTAATTTTGACCTCGTTGTATATTAATGAACATGATATTGGCATTCGCAAAATAATCATTTCAATAACGTTTACATTCCAATCGAAAAAGTAATATCAACACCTAAACCTTAGGTAGAGTAACAACATATACAATTTTTCTGGAAATATTAAGCATTTAAAAAGGTGTTCTGTTTCTTATAAATTATATATTACACTCATGTGAGTTACAAAACAAACGTTTATATGCATTAACAAAATTAATGTCATTCAATTTTTTGACTAAGCAAAACAACCCGAGTATATTAAGCAATTAAGACCAAAGCAAATTTCGGAGTCATATTTCTAACATCCGATAATTATTAAGTGTAAAGATTATGTCATGTCATGTTAGATCATGTCATGTCATGTCATATAAGGTCATGTCATGTCATATAATGTCATGTTATGTCAAGTTATAAAACCCGTTTTTTGTGAAAGTAAATATAAGTTACAACATTAGTTAATTTTAGCATATACAGCAAAAATCAGAAAAATAGAGCAAATTAAATGTTTGAATATTTTGACTTTTTACATTTTTCTTGTGTGAGAACGTGTAAGCATAAAGAATATCATGCAGTTGCATGTTTTTTCAAACTTAATTTTGTTGTGAGTAACCAAATACATATCAATCTATTGAGAGCAAAGACATGCTTTGTTGAAAACTTAATTTTTATTTTAGTTATCAATGTAAGATCAATTTATTTAGAACCATATATAATGCTTTTTTATGCAAACTTAAGTAGCTTCTAAATGCTTTATCAATCTATTAAGGAATATTAACATAATGCTTGTACAAATCAAGCATACTTTGCAAGTCGGCTTTTCTGGGGTTGGGGGAGGTGGGGGAATAAAAAACATGAATCAATCAGGTACCAACTTGAAGATCTTTGTTGCCGATGATGCAATTGTATTCTAATTAGACTAATATCTGATTTTCTTTATAATTATGTTACTATTTTATCTATTTGCATTTAGAAAATGGTCACTCTCACACTGTTTCTCGGCCACAGCTGTGCTCTCAATTGTGTCGTCTACAATAAATCTAAGATCTTTTTCACTAACAATTTGAATATCTGTTTCTTTACATGTCCGTCTACTTGTTCGTTCGTGAACAATTGGATATATCATCAGACAAGATGAACATATCATACTGGCTCCAGCCATATAAAAAGAAAATGCGTAACTTCCGGTACTTTTAAATAATGCCCCTGAAAATTAAATAAACATAATTAGTTTTGTCAATGTTATGATTTTTTTATATAGGTACATGGGTCTCTGCATTTAAATGACACAAAATATTGATTAATTTATCATTTATCTGTCAGTTTGTTTTACAAAGAGGATATAACTCGATACGTAACGTGTTTGGAAATGCTTGTCAAAACTCTCACTGAACCCGAATCTTCAAAAATATTTTTAACAAAGTCTCTCACATGAAATTAACTTTTCCTTATTAATCAAACAACAAGTCAAAGCCGTCAGTAGAAAATAAGAAAATCGCGTAAGATTGAAACGTTCGTACGTATCTAGGCATCATTTTGTACATCAAAATTTGAGTAATAACATCAATTAATGTATTCACCTGCAACGGGTCCACCAATCATATTTCCAGTTGCTTTAAATGGTAATGACATACCAATACCATCAGAAAACCTTCTAAATCCAACTATTTTGATAACGACAGCGTTGATCAAAGCACCCGTAACACAAGATAGAAATCCTACTATACCAGCTATAGCAAGGATGCCTGCACGTGTAAGAAGTACGGGAGTTAAACCCATACAAATCCCAGTCGCAAATAGTGATATGGTGTACACAAATATAACATTTATTCGTGGATGATGTCCTAGAAAACTGTAGAAAACTTTCCCTATGATGTTGCATATTCCATGAGATAAAAACAATGATCCGTAATCGTTTTTGCCAAAGCCTATATCTCTAGAGTATGACGGTAAATGTAATATAAAAACTCCATAGCTAAAATTGAAAAAGACATGACTAGCACAAAGGCAGGCAAAGGAAAGTTTCTTTAATATAGAGAAATTCATCAATCTTGTTTTCACTGGTTTGCTTAAATTAGTGACTGAATGAGATTGCTGTTGATTTTTGTCTCTGTCCGAGCCCATTTTAACCGGAAACATGACAACTGCGCATGCGCAAAGATTGAACATTATTCCACCCTGTATAAGAAGCATTCCTCTCCACCCAAAATGCTCTTCTAGGACAAGAATGAATTCCGAAAATAGAATTAAACCAACATTGTTTCCAATCGAAGAAATACCATGAGCCAATGTTTTATATTTATCGAAATATATATTTATGGCGGACATACAACCATTGTAGTTTATTCCAAGACCGATTCCTGTAATAAAAAAGTGAAGGCCAGTTAGGTGTAAATGGTTAAAATATTTTCATCTTTTAACAAATACAGACACACACTTAAAGTTCGCGCTGACATGTTATTTTGCACAAAGAAATCAATTCTTGACTCTCAAAAACAGGCCAACCACAGATGTCGTAGTTGACCTTATTTTGACAATTATTAAAATTCAAGAAAGTACATTTTATATTCATTATGCATATACATTGTAGATGATGTTTCAAAAGGCATCATTTTGATTTAAGATTTTGGGTTTTCTTTATTGTTGATGTTTGTTTTTCGTTAATGAAATACAAAGATCTTCTTACCAGTAAGTAAACCGTAGGATATGAAGAGAAAGGTTGAATCTACAGCGAAGTAGCTGATAGAAAGACCACCAGCTGCAAGAACACCGCCGACAAAGGAACACACACGGTAGCCATATCGATTGGTGAGAACACTTCCCGCCGGTGCTGAAATATATGTAAAATATGTAAACAAACTATCAAATCAATGACAAAAGTGGCTGTATCATATTCACAGGCTGAATTAAACTTTCCAAATCTAAAAATAGATTGAGACTTATATTCAATGACCATGCATCGTAGACTGTTAATAACGCGTGCAAATTAAAAAAAATGTTGCGACTTGTTCTTAATGATATTTTCTCGATTGTAATATCATTACTTCATTAGAATAGTTAAAAGCTACACCGCAATGCTATGTATAAACTTGAATTACTTTTGTTCGTAGTTAGTGAACGCCTGGCACGTTGCGGCTTTTTCCCGCGCTTTAATGAAACAGGCAAAATTGTATATAAGGTTATACTTTTTATCATTTTTTTAATGTAAGCCTATTCATATGATAAAACAATAACTGACTAGTGAAACTAGTGAAACATTGAATATGATTTGATATTCACCTGCTTATGGCAAAATGACCGAGACGATAGCCAAAAAATGTAAAATATGTAACAGTTTAAACATGGAAAACAACATACTTCATGTCATGTATTAGGATATGCTACATATCACACTACAAAGTGAGAAACTTACAATATTTTTATTTTTAAATGTTAACTCGAATTAATTGTTGAAAGTTAAAAGTTTATTGAACCACTCTCGAAACAATTATTATAGGTAGATGTACTGCGCTTTTAAACAACGTTATAAAATAACGTCATAACCGCGCGCCTTTTATAAATGAATTACATGTTTGTCTATTTCGGGCTATCTTTGTGTAGCATTCTTTCGCACTGCACCCCCTTCTTTATAAGATCTGTTGACCTATGAAGTTTTAAGTTGATATCTTTAAACTTTTGAAATAACAACATGTACAAGCTCCGGACGAACATTTGAGTATGAATGGTAAAGTTAGTATTCTAGTGCACTGCATTAATCCTAAATAGATATGAGCCACGTAACGACAAAACCAACGTTTTGTATTTGCGACCAGCATGGAAACTTGACCAGCATGCGCATCTGCGCAGTCTGATCAAGATCCATGATGTTGGCTAACAGTTTCTCTACTTTTAATAGGGTTGGTAAGCGAACAGCATAGATCCTGATCAGACTGTGCGGATGCGCAGGCTGGTCTGGATCCATGCTGGTAGCAAACGCATTATGCTGGTTTTGTCATGACGCGGCTCATCTATCTGCCTATGGAGTTGCAAGCTGATATTTAAAAAACTTCTGGCAAATAAGAATAATGAAAAATAACAAAATGCAATAATTTAAAAATGTTGAGGAATAAATGTGCACCGCACTCTTTAATGGGATATACGTTGTATCTGTGAAGTTTCAAGAAAATATCTCAAATTCAACATGCATCCAGATTTTTTAAAAGCTAATTTTTAGGGAAAAAAAATTAAAATGTAAAAATAAAATACTTTGAAGTGAACAAAGACAGATATTTACACATTGCAAACGGCACTCACAAACAATGAAATATTAAAAGGGGGTTAAAGTAAACAAGAATATCCCTAAATGCATAGTCACGCAGTAGAAATATAGTGAAAATACTGCAATATTAGTCCTTCATTAGTCCTTCATCGAATGTTTTATGTAAATTATTACTTGAATCTTAAAACGTTTTTTAACTTTTCTTAAAATCTTACTACATTTTCTCCAAGTATGAATTTCTTGAAATATGTTGGTATGCAACTTTAACCTCTGGGTACAAATATGAGGAGAAATGATATGCATGAATGACAATAACAAAAATGGTGAAAGAGAATGAATTGAATTAGTGGTAATTTCAAATTTTAAATTAAATTTTACAGGGGAATTGTTTATACGAAGGCATTATATATTGTTGATAAAAGATATTTCATTTAAATCAAACTTCAAAGAAAAATGAGACGTTCATATATTGGTATAGATCTTTTACATAAATAAAATCAATTAGCATCAAAAGATGGAAGTGGTTATCCGCCATAACAAATACAATAAAATGGCGTATGGATGGGTATTTAAGTAAAAATTCCATTCATGTTAATAACTTATTTTTGCCTGCAAAATACATTGATATTATGCTCTAATTTGTTACACTCAAACGAGCATAAATCATTTACATTCTTTAATAATAGACCTTTGAAATAATAAACAACACAACACAGAGTTTAAAGAGGCTAGAGGGAGTATTTGTAAGCCGTCTCCACTAACCGTTTATTTTCCCAACCAACAAAGATAAAATTCTGGATATAAATCTACATATCAATTTTTGTTAAGACAAAAATAAAAAAAAAAGCTTACATATGACTTAGAGTAATAAATTTACTAAGCAAATTCATCTGTTAAAAAATGCCAAATACTTCGTGTAAAGGTAAAGAAATATAAACTTTCCAATATAACTGAATAATAGAGTTTTGTAAAAACAGAAGTTTTTGGAAATGTTCGAAAAGTCAGGTTGCTGCGAGCGGGATACCCAACCCTAACTCCAAAC